AATTATATAAGGCTAAATAGTGAGATCGTGGTTGGAGCGGAGGCTAAGGGGGATAGGGTTGGACAAAGAAACCCACAGCACGAACGCCACTGAGGTCAACAAGTGTATCCAGCCAAACGCATTCATCGTCTTTCGGACCCCAAGCAGGGAGCCGAGACGCTCCAACCGAGGTCAGATTCGAAGTGAGGGCCTTCATTCCTCTCGACCAAATCATCGCTTGGCCACCCATCTTCCATTCTTCCATCCACACCCACGGCGCGCAAACAACACGTCGCGGAAGTCGGTGGGCTGGCATGCGTAAAACGTAGCCGAGCCATCAAAGTCTGGTGCGTGAAATAACGGTGCTGAGCAGTTCATTTCCTTTTTCTGTGCCGTAAACAAGGCGTCGAACGCACTCGTTGCTTACTCGGTTTTCCCACCAGATGTGAGCTAAATTGCAAAGGCATCGGTGGTCGAACGTAACTAGCCTTTTTATGTCGGATGATCTAAGGGGCCAGGTTTCACAACCGTACAGTAGAGTGGAACATACCGCTGCATTGTACACTACAACCTTCAGGGCGAGTGATGTCGAGCCGGCGCCATAAGTGGCGAAGGTTAGCAAAAGCGCCTCGTGCTTTCGCTATACGGTTCGTGATCTCATCTTCAATCCCAAGGACGCTGATACAACTTCCCGGGTGGTTGAATTTGTGAACGGCTTTTAGCTGATCCCCACCTAGGGTCAGCGTAGGAGGCAGTCTAGACCAAGCTTGGAGAAACGCTTTGCACTTCGAGGATGCGAAGCAAAGCCCGAAGTGACGGATAGGCAGTGCTAATCTGTCCAGTGCCGCTTAGCACGTTTGTGAGCTATCATAGATTAGGGCAATATCGTCAGCACACTCCAAGTCAAGAAGTCGTTCTTCTGAGAGCAAATCCACACCTAATTCGTGTCCTGTGAATGCGATTTCCATGACTTCGTCAACAGCGAAGTTGAAGAGGAATGGTGACAGCGGGTATTCTTGTCTCACACCGCTGAAGATATTAAAAGGCGACGACAGCTTGCCGCAAACCCTCAGTCTACCTGAACTACGCGCGTATAATGCTCGGATATTTACATATTTCTCAGGTACACCTTTCCTGAGTAGACAGTCCAAAAGTGCATGTCTATCCACCGAATGGAATGCACGTTTGATATCGAGGAACACGACAACGGTGGGCCGCCAATATATGTGATGGTGCTCCAATAACTGACGCAAAGTGAAGATGTGGTCAATGTAGCCACGACCTCGACGAAACCCGGCTTGTTCTTCACGAACATGGCTTTCACGAGTGCCAGTCAGTCTGTGAAGCATGACAGAGGCAAGCAATTTGGAGGCAATGGAGACCAGACTGATTCCTATATGGTTGCCGCATTCCGATCGTAAGACTCACTTAAAAATTGGGACTATGACGGAGCGGCTCCAGACGGTTGGGACAGCTTCAGTTCCCACAATTTCACTAGTAACTCGTATAAATCTTCCACAAGAGCAGGTCCCCCGAATTTGAAGAGGGCTAGAAGAAGATCATCTGATCCCGCGGCTTTATTTAACTTCAACAATGCGATCTCACGTTCGAATTCTGAGCGAGAGGGTCGATCCAAATGGACAGTCCATGGAGCGGGGCGACCAGTGGCCGGCGAGAAATCTAACAATTCCGACCGATTAAATTGTCTTTCAAAGTGCTTAGCCCAACGCACCAAGCTTTTAGACAAGTTGTGGATAGGCTGTCCACTCTCGTCACGTACACTTTCACTAACACTAAGTCTCCTGCTGCCCGTTTCCCGTATCAGACGGAATAACTTACGATTGTTACCAAGGGCAGCGGCCATTTCCAGCTCTGAAGCACGATGAGGCCACCAGGATTCGTGGTCTCACTTCAGGCTAGCACGGAGTTTTGCTCGGAGCTCTTTGCGAGTTTCATTGAGTTCGCTTCCAGTCGGAATATGCCGGCGAGCATCGATAAGTTCCAGAGACTGCGAAGGGACCCAAGGTCCATGTTCGCGATTAGACTTACCACATGAGGATTTTCTTGCTGCTATTAAGGTCTGGTGAAGATGAGACCAGCGAGCTTCAATTGCATCCAGTGAGCGCTTACTCAACTCGCATGACAGCGTACTTAGATAGGCATTCAGAACACTTGGCTTCGCCAGTTGGTTGGTGTCAATGCGCTCACAGGGTCGTCGTGGGCGTCCGCCAAAACGCGTCCGCTCACCGTTATCAGTACCGGAGTATGCACCATGTTGGCCGCCCAGATGCAGTTCATCAGTGGATAATTTTCCAACTTGAGCGTTCAGATGCCCAGCCAGCACAACAGTGTCCGAGATTGTTCTGTGGCGAAGCTCGTGCAATTGGCGATAGAAATCCTTTTACTGAATCATCGCTAGAGTTTGTGGGTGGATAGGCAGCGATGACGAATAGACACCTATTAGTCCCGTGCGGCTTCAAAGCTTTGAACGAACCGGCCAAGCGGACAGCACACAACCGGCTACCGATTAGAATCCAATCAGCCAGAACAGCTTCAGCCCGGGGACTCGGGGCAATACCAACACCGGCTGGGCCGGTGCCCGAAGCTGCATCGTCACCGGATATGCGCAATGAGAAAGTGCTGCTGGTGTCACTTGAAGGGGATCGCAAAGTGAGCACTGAGCTCGAGTCTTGCAGGTGGGTCACCGATAAGCAGCAGATATCGATCGAGAGGGTCTCAAATGTTCGGGCAAGTGCTACCTGTTGACCGATCTCTAGCAATGTGCGTACATTGAGGCATGCCAATCTGAAGGATGATCGAGAGCTCCAAATCGAAGCCAATGAACTGGGCTTGGCCGCTTGCTTGAACATAGGCTTGTCGACAGGGTCGGAAAGACGCTCCGCGTTCACATGTGAGTTGAAAGTAAAAGCCTATGAAAGCAAGGTGGAGGAGGGCCAAGAATTGGGGGTTAAAAACGGGGGGATAAGTGAAGCTGGAACGGGACGGTAGGAGTGAAAAAGCGTAAGAGGGGGAATGAGAAGATGGGTAGGCTTAAATAATAGCATTCAAACCTCTATCCACCTTGCTGGATGCAGCAGAGAAGGCACCGTTGATTATCCTGTGCGGTGGCCATAGCATCAAAAAATTGTTTAAGTTCATAGTATTGCGTGGGCAGGATACTGTCAAGTTGTCCAGGCCTAGACAAGAAAACGATTAGGGTTCTCGTCAGCTTGACAAGCGTAGTAGTTATGTTTAAAAAGTTCGTCAGGGATTCGGTGAAGAATCACCTGAACAAATTTAACTTCGGCGCTGCACAACGCGGTATCCGTAAAGAATTTTCGTGCTTGACAAATGTACTTGTAGCTCATGAAATCTGGGCTGAGGCAGTAGACAGCGGTTACGGTGTCATGGTTATTTTCGTTGACTTCTCGAAAGCCTTTGATACTGTCCCACATCGACTCTCACTAAAGTTGAAATCGTATCGGATATCTGGTGGTGCCCTCAAATGGGTGTCTGCATTTCTAGAGAGGAGAGAACAGTGTGTACGCGAGGGGCTGTCTTTCGCTTAGACAAGCTGTTCTTAGTAGCGTTCCGCAGCGATCGGTTTTAGGGCCGTTGCTTTCCGCAATTTTTGTCAAAGACCTACCCCAGGAGTTTAAAGTACGGTCGCTATTGTTTGCTGATGAGCTTAAACTCTGAAATATTGTGGACATACCTGGGGCTCTGAGGCAATTCAGTGTCTTGGATGGGCTCTGGGATTGGTCAACCTAATGGTTGATGCCTATAAACAAGGCAAAATGTTCTGTGCTCCTCACTGGAGGTGCTAGTCCCCCCACGCGCTATGTAGTTGGTGGAAACGAAATCCTGTTGTCACTCAGTAGATTGATCTAGATATCGTCCACACCTCAGTGCTTCACTCTGGGGACAAGTGAAGGAACGCTGCCTGTAGAGGTTTCGCAACTCATCTGGTGTCCTAACGGCCGATATGAAGCCATTCACAGATTTTGTGCGACCTTGCGTAAACTACTGTATCCAGGCTTGTCCACCATGTCTTGTAAGGGAGGACATGGAACTGGAGAGGGTTTTGCGAGTGGGTACAAGGTTAGTGCAGGGTTTACGGCGGCATACGTATCCCGAACGTCTACTTGGCTTGAGTTTATGCTCAATGTGCTACCAGAGATTTAGAGGATACTTGACGCTCACTTACCGTATCTTAAGGAGTAAGACGGGTTCGGACTTGTCCTGGCTATTTAGTCTCACCAAGCTGCCCCGTCTCCGAGGTCACTCCTTGAAGCTGAACAAACTGCGTTCTGACCAAGTAAGAACGGAAACTCGAGTGTCGCGTCGGGTTATTGGACGGAGTACGTCTTTAGGGAATCTACGGTTGAGGATTTCGAGCGTCAGATGCTTTGGGTGCCAGTACCCAACCCTCCCCGTCTCCTAACCGACTTGGATGTTCAGCTTCCTGTTCGGTTGTTTTATATTTCTTCCAATAGGTTGGTATTATCAATATGTAGCTGAGGTTCCTCCTTTTGTTTTCTTAGCATGCACCTCACCCGTTATTACTTCAGACAAACCGGCCTGGCAGGGATTGCTGTGCAGGAAAAGGTGGGCAGTAATTGGTTGGACAGGGTATGATGCGGTCTTCGTTTTGGGTTTTTCAAAATTGCAAGCAGACCTTTCAATTCCCGGTTCAATGATACGCAAAAGAAGAAACATTAACGTTCGTTCCGGTTCCAAGTGAACTGGTGATTTAACATAGAAGGTATACGTATAAGTGTCCTAGGGAAGATCGCGGTGTAGCTCTGCAAGGTGACAGTCCAGCCGGGTCGTAAACCTGAAGTGTGCATTATCAAGCTAATAAACGGGGGTTGTCGCTGGCACAGCCTTCTAACTCTGTCTTCTACAATTATGTATGTATATAAAGCTATACTTAAATTTTGGCGACGTGTTGCAGCAAGACCAAAGTATAAAAAATATCGCAGATTGAAAAGCAGGAATCTGGCTAACTAGAAGCTCACCGGCTCTGAAAGTACACGCCGGCACTCCACAGGAAGATAAACTGTGGCCTTTGGCACATAGCTATTCTCCGTTTCAAAGTAGGCCATGTTTCCATTGCTATAAATAACCAACCACGCAGGCTTCCATCGTTTGAGAATTGTTGCTAAAAGGAAGGATTAGGGAAAGATGTGACGTACATAGACGCTGGACTGAACCCGCCTTGACAATCTCGTAAGACATGAATAATTATAGTGAACGAAGTATCGGTGTACGGAAGTTCTAAATACAGCAGAGGCAAGAAGGGCCGTGCTAACAGAGGGGTGTACTGAAGCACGTGAGTTCAGTTCAGTTCAGTTCAGTTCAGATGGGGACTGGAACGATAGGAAAATCCCGTGAGTGTTCCATCTTGAGTGGATCGTTGAGCCAGGAATTGATGAAGTGCTCAGTTATTGATGGATCTAAAACGGAAACACCCGTATCGCACCCTGGCCAACCAGTTAATGCCCACGTTTCCTGCCCTAGCAGTCCCTGCTGTGGCAGTCACGTGAAGTAAGCAAAGGATAGGAAGAGAAATCGAAGGTACAGAATAGGGAAGTGCACTTAAATAAGAAAATAATACCAATACGTGAAGAAAAGTAGAGAAAAGAAAATCGAAGTACGAAGATGTGAGTTACTCAGGAAAATGGAAAGGTTTCGTGTTGCCACCCAAGAGCGTCAAGTTGCCGCTCAAACCCCTTAACCGTAGATTCCCTGATAACACTTTCCGGAAGCATGTTCCAGCGGTCGATAACTCGGCGTGACAGCCGGATTTCCGCCCTAATCCGATCGGACCGCGGTTTGTCCAGCTTCAACGAATGACCGCGTAGAACAGACAATCTAGCGGGACTGAATAGCCAAGACAAATCTGGACCAACCTTCCCAGTCAAGATACGGTAGGTTAGGATTAGGTCTCCTCTAAGCCTTCGGTAGTGCATTGAATGCATTCCCAAACTAAGTAGACGCTCGGGGTACGTCCGTCCCCGTAATCCCTCGACTAACCTAGTACCCACTCGTAAAACCCTCTCTAGCTCCATTTTGTCCCGGACGAGGCAGGGCGGACAAGCCTGGACGCAGTATTCCAGATGAGGGCGAACGAAAGCCGAGAACAGCCTCGTAAAGATGCCGCCCGTCAAGACTCCGAAAGAACGTCGGATTAACCACAACATGCGTAAACCTCTGCTTGCGGCCTTCTTCCAGTTGTCGCCGGAGTGTAACGCCGAAGAGTGTACGACGCCTAGGTCAACCTGGCTAGATACACGGGGGAGTTCGACCCCACCGACCAAGTACTTCGCAGGAGGACAACCTCCTCCAATTCGAAGAACGGAGCACTTTGCCTGATTTATGGGCAGTAACCATAAAGTAGACCAGTCCCAAAGCTTATCCAATGCTCGCTGAATAGCTTCGGAACCCCCAGGAACATCAACAATGTTCCACAGCTTCAGGTCATCAGCAAATAGCAGCGATGGTACCTCAAGCTCCGTGGGTAGGTCGTTCACATAGATAGAGAACAACAGCGGTCCAAGGACCGAGCCCTGCGGCACGCCGCTGAGGACAGACTGCCTAAATGACAGACCCCGGCCTACCCGTACACATTGTTCTCTACCCTCCAAGAAGGCAGTCACCCAATGAAGGGCGCGGCCAGATACCCCGTAGGAGGACAGCTTTTGCGCGAGCCTCAAATGGGGTACCTTGTCAAATGCCTTCGAAAAGTCGACGAAAAGCACGTCCAGCGTGTGGCCGTTATCCACTGCATCCGCCCAATTTTCGCGAGCCACCAACAGATTCGTCAGACACGAAAATCCCTTCCGGAATCCGTGTTGTACATTGCTAAGTAGATTAAATCTACTCAGATGACTCTCTAATGAATCTCTCACCAGTTTCTCGAGGAGTTTGATTACTACACTCGTCAGACTAACTGGCCTGTAATTTGCAGGCAGACCCCTGTCCCCATGTTTGAAGATGGGACAGATGACAGCTTCCTTCCATTCGGAAGGCAATGCACAACTGTCAAGCGATTTCTGAAACACAATAGCGAGCGGTCCACTTAGTTCCGCAGCCAACTCATGCAACAGTTTCGGGTGAATTAAATCAGGCCCAGAGGCCTTAGAAGGGTTCAGCCCTTGTAACAGCCTACGAACTGCAGTCTCCGCTACAATAAATTCAGATAGTTCTGAACCCTCTGGAGTCCTGCAAACCAGCTCAACGCCTGTCAAAGAGGTTTCCCTTACAAACGCTGCCGCATATTGCCCACTGAGTACGCAGGCCTTGTTATAATCCGTATGCGCATGAGTACCGTCATCACGCATCAATACTGGAATTGACATTTTCGAACCGCAGCGTCTTTTAACATAAGCGAAGAATCTTTTTGGATTCTCTGAAGCTTCGTCCGCTAACCCTTTTTCAAAAGTGAGCCGAGCATCCCTTAGGTGTTGCTTACACCTATTTCTAGCTTTACGGTACCTGTCATAAGTATCGGTAGACGGAGCGTCTCGGTAAGTCCGCCAACATCTAGATCTCTTTGTGAGCAGATGCCTGCCAGTGGGATCTATCCAGGGCGGCTGTGCTCGGGCCTCCTTTCTCCTTGTGACTGGTATGAAGGGAGCAGAGACCTCTGTGAGGTAGGACTTAAATTTATCCCAGGCAACCTGGACAGTATCGTCGTCTGAGATCTCACAATGGAAACCAGAAGCCTTGGCTCTCATTGATTGATAGTCTGCTTGCCATATGTTCGGGCGAGACTCAACAGTACTCTGGTAGCGTCTAGACAGAGTACAATTGAAGAGCAAACAAACATGATCACTGGAACCCAGTGGAGGTCCGTAAGTAATGTCACCAACAAAATCGAGTGACTTAGCGAATACAAGGTCTAAGATAGACGGTACTTGGGCGTCCATGTACCTAGTGGGGAGGTCAATGAACTGGTGCAAAGATACTTGGAGCGTAAGTTCAAGCAGATCAGCGCCGAATGTGCCTGACGCTGAGTCGCAAGAAAGATCTGCCCAACAAATCTCTGGGAGGTTGAAGTCGCCCATCACCAAACACTTATTTGCGGACTGGGAGCGAATGAAGTCAAGTACCTCTTTGGATACGCTCCCAGGGCTTCTATACACAATTACAACTGTAACCTGAGCCGAGGATGTGCTAATAACAGCCGACAGAGCTTCAACAGTTTTGTCTGCTGACTGAAATAGGCAAGTCTTCAAAACGTCAAGTTTACAGCTCACATAAAGAGCGACGCCCCCTCCCTGTCGGCCAGCAGAGCGATCGCATCTAAATAGTGCGTAGCCCGATAGATGTACTTCACCATCCGTGATGTCCTGAGACAGCCACGTTTCAGTGAATGCGAGTATATCGGGATGAGACCCATCTACAAGCAGACCTAACTCGTACACCTTATTCCTTAGGCTGCGCACATTACTTAGCACTATCTGAAGTTTTTCGTTAGATCCAGACCTGGGTCGTGCGCTACCAGTACTGGCACTGGTAGGGCGGAAAAGGACCGCCGGCTGACCACCCGAAAACCCACTAACCGGAGACCTTGTTCACCGGCCGCTCGCCTGCTTTTGAGGTCCTTGATGGCCTCCCTTAGCTTCAGCCTATCGGCTAGCGGAAGGTCCGGCTGAACGCTAATGTTTGTACCTTTCAGCTTAAACGCAAACCGCATGAGAGCATTGCGTTCCTCCGGGGTAGAGAGTACCACACGAAGTAGCCGCGGTCGCGGGTTTGGTACGTTAACTGGGACGTTCCCCAGTCTAATCAGCTTCCTGACAGTAACGCCTGGAAAACCAGGCGGAAGAAGCCTCGTTACGCACATTTTAAACCATTGAAGGTCGTCCAACATGCGATCAGCGGGAAGGACAGCAGTAGATTCAGCCGCGTTACGGAATATAAATCAATAATTACAAAAGTACATGTTTGGCATAACTGTGTATGTAAGTGTACGGGTGTATATACGTATGTAATTGTGTATGAATGTAGCTTGTGTCTTTGAATGTGCCGCAGCATTTTTGACTGTTTGTTGTCGTCAGGAATGTGAGCATAAGGGATTGATGTCCTTGGGTTGGATAGCACTTTCCGGATATCCACGGGCCAGTGACTTTATTTTGTGGCGAGTCACATCCGCCACGTCGCAGTGTTGATAAGCAGACATTTGTGGCTTTTTATAGGGAAAACGCTTGCCAGGCGAAAACCCACCACGTCCTGGAACACTGCCGCCGAACTATTTGCTGGAACGGGTTAAACCCGAACCACCCAGCTGGCACCACGAGGAGGTTGTTCGGCTAGCCAGCCGTGAAAGAATCGCCGCGACGGGGTGTATTAACCCCACGGGTCTTTGATTCGGCACTCGGAGCAGGTGGCTTTACTACTGGTAATGGAACTGTCTTTAGCCCCTCCGATGATGTAGCAACGGCAGCGTATGTTTTTCGCTCCATTGTCGATGTCTTACTTTTGTTAGGGTCATCGATTTCACCGGAAGGCTTTATAGCAGATTTTGTCTGCTTTTTCTTCTTGATAACAGGAGTAGGGTCCCGTGGGGCTTTTTCGCTTTGAGCAGAATCAAGCACACCTTCAGAATATGTCTTCTCGGTGAGAACCAAGATTTCCGGCAACTTCGGCTGATAAGTAGTGCGTGTTGTGATCTTCGCCTTCGCACAACCGTCAGACGGTTTGCCAAGTAACGACACTTGGCCTGTTACCGGTGCCGAGACAACTTCTTGTTTAGCAGAGAGCTTACGAGGTTTCCTGGCTCTTCTTCGCTTAACTCGAAGTGACCCTTGAACCAGCAATTCGGCATCGATCAGCGTAGGTATAGATACGACGTCCGAAGCTGCTTCATTTTTGTGGTCGGTAGCCATCTGGACCGGTGACATAATGATAGGTGCCACAAGCTGATCATCAGTGTAAGCGATCAAATCTGCTTTGTTGGAGACCGGAAGCGTCGTCATAAGCAGATCAATCTTTGAGCGAAGATCAGAGAGCATCGAGAACGAACGCTCTACATTTCGCAGCCGGGTATCAAGAGATTCATCTCTCGTACGAAGGCTGTGCGGCCTTGCCGGCGGCTGCAGCAATTGGCACAACGGAACAGCAACTTTTCGCTAGAGGCCAGCGCTGCGTACTGCTCGGTATTTAGCTCCGTACAAAGCTGATGGTACCATCGGTTGCAGACATCGCATTGCATACCGCCTGAATCGTCAGTTACTGGTACATTGCAGCTCGGTCCGCCACAAAGTGCGATAACCTCAGAATCCGAGCCATCAGGAACAACAGCCTCGGTGCATTGCGAGACCGACATAGTG